TATTGTTTAAATATCAGATGTTATTAAGGTGATCTGGAGTCTCTCTGTTTTACCGACATTTTTTATATAAGGATATCTTTTAATTGGCTTTACAGAATTACAAATTCTTGTACACGATTAAAGTTCGCACAAAAATGAAAGTCAGCCTACTCGACTTTATATAAAAAGCGAAAAAAAACTAAATATTCCATTAATTTTTGGCATGTAGAGCTGTCACATGACGATAATATTTGCTTAATACAAAAGTTCTATAGTTTATATCTGCAAAATGAGACCGGAGTGACCTAGAGACCACATGCAAGAACAATATTGTGTAATTGGAACTAAGATTAAAAGTCTAGAAAAAAGATAGGTTTAAATAAAAGTTTATAAATGCAAATACAGCTGTGTGTGTGTAGAATGATAAGTAGAGCAGTATTGCGTGTAGTAATAGATGCCGGATCGAATAGATGCCAATACACATGCCAATACAAGAATTTACAATTCTGTAAAGCCAATTAAAAGATATCTTATTTATATAAAAAATGTCGGATTAAACTTTGACATTATCTATGCACTCACATTGAGGAAAATATCAAGTAATATTAATCAAAATTGTTCAGCATTATTTATTTGAAATTGCTTCTCTTTTTCTCGGAGCTTTTGTTCATATAAAAATCGCAAAGCGATGTTATTTTAAGCTCAGAATCAAATTGTCACATTTAGCGCCACGCGCAAATACGAATACGATCCCAAGAGAGTACAAGTATTTTATAAAGATAGAAAGGGCAGTTTGTAGAGCCTGCGCTGTGCATGCCGACTATGCAATAACCGGAAGCCAAAAGGGATAAGTATCCTTTTGCACGAAATTCGAGAGAAGCTCCGGGTGATATACACGGTGGAAATAGTGCCTTTGAACGGTATTTTTAATTTTCGCGGGAATAGCGTACCGGACTGTGTGTGACAGCGTGGGCAATTAAATTGGCTCGGAACCAAAGCTGCGTCACATGGATTGATCCAATTATGCCGGATGTCCGTCTCGATGTCGACGCTTGCTCACCGCTTGCACGAATTACAGATTGCGCACTTCGCATGCATGTCAGCGCGAACGTTTTGCGGTCTTTTGTAATATAGCTATGATATACATGTATACATATATATAAAATTTATTATCGATTTCAGGCGCTGAGGTATGCCACGGCGCTGCAGCTTACTGAGGTCATTAGTGTGCCTTCCAAATCCACGTGCGACGCAAAGATTTGCAAAGATGCTAAGAGCAACGATGCCTTTGGTAGGAACCTGTCGAATCTCTACACCTTGCGGGGCACCCAAGAAAATCTAGCTTTTTCCGATAAAGACGAAGTGTGAAAAACCAAGATTCGATAAAGAAACGTCGCGAGTGTAATTATCGCCAGTGAATGCTCAAAGACGTTGTATTGTTAATTAATTAATTGTTAACTAATGTCGTCTACTTTTTAAGAATTTATTCTTAAAAATTTCACGTAAGACACGTTTGACATATATAATACTGTATGTATAGGTTGAAAGTTTTTTATAGGTAATGTAGTCTTATAAAAGTAGAAGCTCGTTTTATTACTTGCAATTTTAATTTATTCAATATGCAATTTTAATTCTACTCTAAAATTGAAAGTATAGTCTTTGAATTGTGAGATTTTGTAATCTCGTAAATTAAATATGAGTTCGCGATAAAGAAAAATATTTTAAATGTAGCAATAAAAGTATGTTATATTTCTTAGGTCAATGATAAAAATAAATTAAAAGTTATAAAACATTTAATTTTTTAAAATCTTATAATCGGTTATTTATCTAATAAAAGTTTAATTTTTAACGTATTTAATGCAGTGTTAATATGTAATTTCCAGGAAAAGATATTTCCGAACACTTTGTAAATTACACTTTAGATTTGCACATATTTAAAATAATTTTTTTAAATTTAAAAGTAAAACTAAATATCGTTATTAAAAATTGGCGTTCTCGGTTCTTTTTTAATTAAATATCATCGTGTTCTAGTTATTTTATTTAATTTCTTGCTTACCTTTCACTAATTATGTACTATTTCCAGCTCTTCTCATTTCTTTTAGCCGAAATTGCAGTCATTGCGTTATGTCGCATTAGTAATGTAAACATTTATCATCTTTATA